GAGTAGCCCTGCTGGTGGTCCAAAAGGCTTGGCATGGTCAAGGAGCAGATTCACGGCCTGCTGGTTCATCATCTCCTGTACCTCATCTGATTGCCAGAAAATGGCTTGAACTGGCCCATACCACAACAGCCCAAAACTATATCTCCATCTGATTGCACCCTTTCTCTGTGTGAGTGTGGAATGGATTTTTGAATCTCTTGTGTGGATTTTAAGAGAGCACTTCGCAGTAACGTTAGGGACTCTTCTCTGTCCCCTGCCGTTGTATTGATTTGTATTTATTCGTCTATTTTTAGCTTTCTGCCAGCCTTCGTTTGCACAACCTTTTCCTCCTTTGCTGTGGGTGCCTCTTTGTGTTCCAGTGACGGCAGATGGCAAATTGAGTCCAGCATTCTGAGTTGGCTAAGCATTGAGGGGGTGCATTAAGGGCAAGCAAGACTACTGTTTGGGAACACTAGAGGGACATTTCTCTCTCTCTATCTCTCTCCCTATCTCTCTCTCTCTCAGACACACACTTAAACTTGCACTACTCTCTCTCTCTCTCTCACGCACACACACTTAAACTTGCATTCCTGTTCTTCTCATAACTTTCTTAGACCTCTGTTGTTCTGCCTAAATTCACCTGACTTGTTGCTTTCCCTCCCCATAATGTAGGCAAGCCTCACCCATTTATTTAAAAAACTCCTCTGCGGCCATTCCACATTCTCAGCTGGCGGGGTGGCAAACAAGCCAGGCTCTGAGTTTGGCTAGCAGGCAGTGGGTGGAGACACTTCAGCAAGCCAGGCTACTGAGTGGGAACACCAAGCCCTAGGAGGAAAGACTGAAAGAACTGGACATGTTTTGCCTTGGGGGGGGAGACTAAGGGGAGCTATGAGAGCACTTTTCAAATACCTGAAAGGTAGTTATAAAGGGCAGGATCTGTCCTTCCAGAGTGCAGGACATGCAACAATGGGCTCAAGCTACAGGAAGCCAGATTTAGTCTGAATAGCAGGAAAAACTTCTTAACTGTTAGAGCAGCACGGCAGTGGAACCAATTACCTCCAGGGGTGGTGAGCGCTCTAACGCTGGAGGCATTTAAAAGAAAATTGGACAACCATCAGTCAGATCTGCTTTGACTTGGATCCCTGCGTTGAGCAGGGGGTTGGAGTCGGCCTGCCTCTTTGCCTCAGCCTGCTGGGCGAGGGTCTCTTCAAATTGGGAGAGGCTGTGATGCACCGCCTGCCTCCAGGCTGAACGCTCAGATGTCAGGGTTTCCCATCTGTTGAGATCCAGATTTAGTATGAATAGCAGGAAAAACTTCTTAACTGTTAGAGCAGCACGACAATGGAACCCATTACCTCCAGGGGTGGTGAGCGCTCTAACGCTGGAGGCATTTAAAAGAAAATTGGACAACCATCAGTCAGATCTGCTTTGACTTGGATCCCTGCATTGAGCAGGGGGTTGGAGTCAGTGGCCTTATAGGACCCATCCAACTCTATGATTCTATGACTCAAAGATTTCCTTCCCAGTTTTCATTTTTTTACTCCTGTTCCTCTCATTATTGTACTGTTGGGGGCACTCCCTGCAACAGTGCCAGAGGAGAGATGATTGCCTGAATCTACCTGTCTGCTGTTATCCGGCTCCATGGTTTGAGATGGTCTCCCCATGCCATGGATCCTAAAGGGTTCTGTGCCCCACATCCTCTCCACGCATTAGCCCAGCCCCGTTGGAGGGCAAGGAGAGCAGGCCAAGCCTTAGCTCTTCCCCTCCCTCCTTTCTTTTTTCTTTTGATCACCTCGTCCTCCACAAAGGCCTAGTGGAAGAAGCACTTGAGACCAAACTGCTGCATCTTGCAAGCATCCTTCACTCAGCATTGTCTCCTGGACACACATGGCACAAAGGTTCTGCCTAAGGGAGGGACCTTCCATCTTGACTGGCCCGGGCACATATCTTTGCAGGGGTCAGGAACAAAGCCCCAGTTCCTAGGCAGGGGAGCAAATAGTTAGGAGGGTCAGTAGCAGAAGCATTGGTAACATCAGCTCTAAGGAGAAGATGGGGCAGGAGTGAAACTGGGGGTGGGGTGCGGTTAAAGGCAATGCTCTTTCTGGAAGACTAGACACGGAACGCTGTTACCTTCCCACTGAGGTGGTCCCTATTGATCTACTCGCATTTGCATGCTTTCAAACCGCTAGGTTGGCAGGAGCTGGGACAAGCAACGGGCACTCACTCCGTCGCGTGGATTCGATCTTACGACTGCTTGGTCTTCTGACCCTGCAGCACAGGCTTCTGCGGTTTAGCCTGCAGCGCCACCACGTCCCTCCAGTTCCTAGAGAGGGGAGCACATAGTTAGGAGGGTCAGTAGCAGAAGCATTGGTAACATCAGCTCTAAGGAGAAGATGGGGCAGGAGTGAAACTGGGGGTGGGGTGCGGTTAAAGGCAATGCTCTTTCTGGAAGCTTATCTTGGAGGGATCCAGAACTGAGTATCAGGTGGGCAACAGTATTCAGATCCCAAGCCAGGGACTTCCTCTGATCTCCTTTTAAGTGATCCAGAGTCCATAGGAACCCTGCCTGATGTACTAGGGATTCACGGAGGAAAAGGAGTTGGGGAAGGATTAAAATACACACCTTCTGGGCAGGCAGGCAGGCAAGCAGGAAGAAACCTGCTTTCCTAGAGAGGGGAGCACATAGTTAGGAGGGTCAGTAGCAGAAGCATTGGTAACATCAGCTCTAAGGAGAAGATGGGGCAGGAGTGAAACTGGGGGTGGGGTGCGGTTAAAGGCAATGCTCTTTCTGGAAGCTTATCTTGGAGGGATCCAGAACTGAGTATCAGGTGGGCAACAGTATTCAGATCCCAAGCCAGGGACTTCCTCTGATCTCCTTTTAAGTGATCCAGAGTCCATAGGAACCCTGCCTGATGTACTAGGGACTCATGGAGGAAAAGGAGTTGGGGAAGGATTAGGTACACACCTTCTGGGCAGGCAGGCAGGAAGGAAGAAACCTGCCAGGAGCTTTGCCTACACACTGAAAGCCCACCACGCTGCTGAAGTTGATGGCACTGACGAACATCTCCCCATGTCTGTTTCCTCATTTTCAGCCCCCCCCACTCCAATTCTCAAACATAGAAATACTGTAGCTGCAAAAATCTGAGACCAAACAGCACCGGGTCACCTGTCCATTCATTCAGGGTGAATGGGTGCCAAATTGTAAGGTAAATGAAATCTGATAGGATGCTGTTTGCGCACCTTCATTCAGGTTCAACCAGGGTGGGAGACAACCCCCTCAAATTTTGGGGTGAGGCTTGCCTCTCTTGTGATCTATGAGCTGCCTTCCTTTTACCCCTAAGCAAGGGTCAAACTGTTCCTTATTACACTCCAATTCCAAGAATGCTAATCTCTTCATTTCTATACATGGAGAAGGGACCATCTTTGCCTCAGCTCTTAAAATGTCTTTTTGCCAACCCTGCTCCCAAAAGAGCTGATATTTACCAATACAGTATTTCACAGTTCTGCTTGTAGTAGAAGTTACTATACAGCACTTCTTATTTCTCAGCATTGCTGGTATGTACTTGGAAGCAAACCAAAGGGTCAAATCTAAAAAATAGGAATCAAGTTCTAAAAATTTGAAGGTGAGATGGCATTTGCAAAATCACTGATTTTTGGATTTCACAAAGCATATTAGCAGCTACTGGCAATTGTTTTAAATTAGCAACTAAACATTTCGGAATGTTTCTAGTTGTTGAAATTAGAATGGGGACGAGGACGACTCAATCTTGCTTCTGTATTCTTTTAATTTCTTGCCTCAATATTTGGTACTTTGCAATTTTTGTATTTTCTGTACTTTTGAGGTTGTAGATGGAGTTGGCTAGGTAGCTCAGTAAGTAAGATAGCTAGCTACAGAACCAGAGGCTAAGAGTATTTCTTCCCAGAACTGCCAGCCTGTACAGCCTTGGGCAAGCTGCGTCCTTTTACCCCTAAGCAAGGGTCAAACTGTTCCTTATTACACTCCAATTCCAAGAATGCTAATCTCTTCATTTCTATACATGGAGAAGGGACCATCTTTGCCTCAGCTCTTAAAATGTCTTTTTGCCAACCCTGCTCCCAAAAGAGCTGATATTTACCAATACAGTATTTCACAGTTCTGCTTGTAGTAGAAGTTACTATACAGCACTTCTTATTTCTCAGCATTGCTGGTATGTACTTGGAAGCAAACCAAAGGGTCAAATCTAAAAAATAGGAATCAAGTTCTAAAAATTTGAAGGTGAGATGGCATTTGCAAAATCACTGATTTTTGGATTTCACAAAGCATATTAGCAGCTACTGGCAATTGTTTTAAATTAGCAACTAAACATTTCGGAATGTTTCTAGTTGTTGAAATTAGAATGGGGACGAGGGAGACTCAATCTTGCTTCTATATTCTTTTAATTTCTTGCCTCAGTATTTGGTACTTTGCAATTTTTGTATTTTCTGTGCTTTTGAGGTTGCTTGTAGATGGAGTTGGCTAGGTAGCTCAGTAAGTAAGATAGCTAGCTACAGAACCAGAGGCTAAGAGTATTTCTTCCCAGAACTGCCAGCCTGTACAGCCTTGGGCAAGCTGCGCAGTTTTGAGATGCTTCCAGAAGAAGGAAACGATAAACCACTTCTGTATGCTTTTTACCTAGAAAACCCTGAAAGGGGTCTCCAATAAGTCAGATCTGACTTGACATCGCACAATTATTTGTAGATGGAACCCCAATGCTTTTCTCTGTTGCTTATCCAGAAGTATAATATCCAGCTTATCAAAATCAACTGTCCTATCTGTGATAACTTGCTTGTCCCCGAATAGTATTATGTTTTTATTTTGTAAGACTGGAGGTGGCTGGGATTTATAATATGGAGGAAAAGATGTGAGTAAGCTATAAGATTGATGCTGAAAGAGTGATCTTTGCAACTTGGTTATGCCTGCACATATAAGCTGTTGACGCTAACTGTGACATGAAGAACTGTTTCTTTAGACGACGATGTTGATGGCGATTTCGAAATTGTTGCAGAGAAACGAACCACACCATCACTCTGGAACAGCTGTACGAGCTGCTGTCATGAAAAGGAGCTTGTTCAAGGGCTTCCAAATTCTGTGGCCCCCTTGCCCACCCCTTCGTCATCCCAAGAGACAGCTGGCCTCTCTTGTCACCACCTCTCACTACGAAGCTATAAACAAGGGCGAACAGGAAGTCCCCGACTACTTCAATTTTGCAAGCGATGTTCTGGATGAGTGGACTCTCGTGGAAAAGGTAGGTGTCCTGTTCCTCTGGCCACAGCTATTGCAGCTGTTAGGTATATCGGACACGGATGGCCACATTTGTTGGGGCAGAGCGTATGAGGAAACGGAGTGTGGCTTTCAAAATGAAAAGCAAACTTCCCCTCCCTAATTACACAACTACTAAAATGGTTCAAGCAGAAACCGATAAAGCAGATTGGCTTCAAGTTTCCCTCAGTAGACCACCCCTTACTTGTTAGTTTCCCTCAACTGGCACTGCTGTTTCCATAATTTACTCAGAGTCTCTGGTCATGTAATTGTAATTTTATGATTTTATATATTTTTATACTGTTCTGTTTTATTTTGTAAGCCGCCCCGAGTAGACATGGTCTAGAGGGGCGGGGTAAAAATCAAATAAATAAATAAATAAACAAAATAAATGAAAAAAAATGTTCTATTTCCTTACCGTTCTTATATAGAAACAACCATCTTATTGTGTGTGAAATTATTCACTGGTTACTTCACTGAATTTAATAATTTAATGAGCTTCTTGACTGACAGACTGCCTGGTTACATAGCTGACCAAACTGTTCACTTCTGGCAGACTCTGTTGCTAACCCTGACAAAACTCTGACTAAAATAAAAGGTGGGAAAAAGAAAGTTGAGGTAGAGCGGGAACAATTGGCTGTTATTGAGTTGACTGACATTCGCGGCAGTTCCTTCCCAACATCTAAACAGCATCCTATGCAAGCTACAACATAACCAACAATGTACGTCCTCTTGGGGTTTCTCCTTAATGCTCAGGGTGGTTTTATGCAGCAGTGATCCTACAAAACTAAAATATTGCATGAAGCATAGGATTGGCTTTCCTTGGTCATGTGACTATTGCATTCAGAAGAATTCAGGAGCATCTTACGTACAGTGGACCCCCGACTTACAGACGGCTCCACTTACAGACTTTTCGAGTTACAGACTTCTCTGGCTGCAAAATTTAGGTTCGACTTGCAGCCGGAGAATCGACCTACAGACCAGAAAAAAACCAAAATGGAACAAAAACGGCCGGATACGAATTAATCGGTTTTCAATGCATTGTAGGTCAATGGAGCCTCGACCTACAGACCTTTCGACCTGCAGCCACCGTTCCAATATGGATTAATTCCGTAAGTAGAGGGTCCACTGTATATATTTTGGGGAGGTTTTTTGCGTTTTTGTTTGTTTGTTTCTTTTTTTGTGAAGAAAGAGTAGCCATTGATGCAAGCATAGGGAAGGCTTCTCTCAAAGGAACTCTATACAAATGTTCTTGGACATTTACTTTCTAGAGATAATTCAGTCTTGACTCAATATGATATTTTAAAAATAATGATCTTGGTCATTGTCACTTTGTAATAGTCGCATGACGTATTATTCATTTTTGTTACTTTTCTTTAAACAAGAGGATTGAATAGAAAAACAGCATACACAGACCAGCCTCAACATTAAAACCACCTGCCTCATATTGCGTAGGTCCCCCTCATGTAAAAACATCAAACGTTTGCATCAAAATGGTTATAAAAATGCATTTGTAAAGTAACTGGGAAATTTTGCACCAATAAAATTTGTCTGACCTATAAATTCTGTTCCATTTGAAAATGTAATTTGGGTAGGCCTTCCAGAGTGAAAAATGTAACTTATTACAAGTAGGGGTGGGTGAAATTGTTGCTGCTATTAATTTCTGATTAGTATTTATCCAAATCTACAAAGGGAGGAGCAAGCAAAACTTCCAGATGCCCATCACTAGGACTGAGTAAGAATTTCAGTCCTCTTTCAGAATGGGATTTAGACATGCTCAGGGTGGTTTTATGCAGCAGTGATCCTACAAAACTAAAATATTGCATGAAGCATAGGATTGGCTTTCCTTGGTCATGTGACTATTGCATTCAGAAGAATTCAGGAGCATCTTACGTACAGCGGACCCTCGACTTACAGACGGCTCCACTTACAGACTTTTCAAGTTACAGACTTCTCTGGCTGCAAAATTTAGGTTTGACTTGCAGCTGGAGTATCGATCTACAGACCAGAAAAAAACCAAAATGGAACAAAAACGGCCGGATACGAATTAATCGGTTTTCAATGCATTGTAGGTCAATGGAGCCTCGACCTACAGACCTTTCGACCTGCAGCCACCGTTCCAATATGGATTAATTCCGTAAGTAGAGGGTCCACTGTATATATTTTGGGGAGGTTTTTTGCGTTTTTGTTTGTTTGTTTCTTTTTTTGTGAAGAAAGAGTAGCCATTGATGCAAGCATAGGGAAGGCTTCTCTCAAAGGAACTCTATACAAATGTTCTTGGACATGTACTTTCTAGAGATAATTCAGTCTCATGACTCAATATGATATTTTAAAAATAATGATCTTGGTCATTGTCACTTTGTAATAGTCGCATGACGTATTATTCATTTTTGTTACTTTTCTTTAAACAAGAGGATTGAATAGAAAAACAGCATACACAGACCAGCCTCAACATTAAAACCACCTGCCTCATATTGCGTGGGTCCCCCTCATGTAAAACATCAAACGTTTGCATGAAAATGGTTATAAAAATGCATTTGTAAAGTAACTAGGAAATTTTGCACCAATAAAATTTGTCTCGCCTATAAATTCTGTTCCATTTGAAAATGTTATTTGGGTAGGTCTTCCAGAGTGAAAAATGTAACTCATTACAGGTAGGGGTGGGTGAAATCATTGCTGCCATTTATTTCTGATTACTATTTGTGACGGCTGCGATGACGTCACCTGCCTATCAATGTTATGCTGGAGCTCATCTGCCTATAGCAGGGCAGGAGGTGGGACTCCAGGAGGTGGAGCTATGTATATAAGGGGGGGAGTGAATGATGTGAGGGAGTTTTAGCTAGGATGAGAAGATAGAGTTGGAGTTAGGGCATGTGTGTTAGGAAGTACTGTGTTAGATAAGGTCTGAGTGTTAGAGTGACTGAAGGGATTCTTTATTTTATTTATTGACATATTCAGTTCATATATTGATTTACTATATATTAAGTTGTATCAATAAACAATAATTTTTATTTTTAAAATCCATACCTTTGTCTGAAGAGTCAGATATATGTGTGTGGTTGGTGGCAGCGTGTTAAGAGAAAGAAAGTGTGAGGTATGAGGAGGCGGCCACACTATTTAACCAAATAAACAAAGGGAGGAGCAAGCAAAACTGCCAGATGCCCATCACTAGGATTTCAGTCCTGTTTCAGACTGGGATTTAGACAAATCGGCAACATTTTGAGGGGGCGAAGCAAAAGTAGAACTATGCCTAGTTAAAGGTATTAGATCCATATCTCCTGACTGCTTTTTCTGATTGCTATTCATTCCCTGTCACCGTTAATTGCAAAATCCTATCCTGCTTACATACAAATTATTGGGGATTTTACCATCTCGCATGCTGCCTGAAGTTTGTTTGGCTGGAAAGTCTATCCAACACTAACCAAACATTCCTCCAGCATGCAAATGCAAGTAGATAAATAGGGACCATTTCGGTGGGAAGGTAACAGCATTCCGTGTCTAAGTCACACTGGCCATGTGACCACGGAAGATTGTCTTCGGACAAAAACGCTGGCTCTATGGCTTGGAAACGGGGATGAGCACTGCCCCCTAGAGTCGAACACGACTGGACAAAAATTGTCAGGGGGAACCTTTACCTTTATCTTTTTTTATTCATTCCCTAACACCATTAATTGCAAAATCCTATCTTGCTTACATACAAATTATTGGGGATTTTACCATCTTGCATGCTGCCTGTAGTTTGTTTGGCTGGAAAGGACTTTCTGATCTGGCGTGACTGTCAGTCTATCCAACACTATCCAAACATTCCTCACACATGTGAATTCAAAGACAATCTTACCTCTCTGCTATTTATTCTTCTTTTTCCTCTCTTTATTCTGTTGGAAGTCAGTTTGTTTGTTGTTGATCGATTCATGACTGTAAGTAATGAACTGTTTTTATTCTTTCTCCTACTAATGTCTATTGAGACTGCAAGTGCCATTTAATGAGAAAGGGGTGGACTATCTGGGAAACTTGTAGCTATTCTGCTCTGTGAATCTCTGTACTTCTACTGCATATCACAAAGAAATTTTTACCAAAAATTCAAAATTCTGCAACACAGATAAAGCACTGTGGATTGTGTGGGTGCTTTATAGACATTCTACCTCATTAAACTTCATATGTTCTCTGCTAGGATGGAAAAAGGCCTCCAAACCCAGCCTTCTGGTGGGTGAATGACCATCAGGAAGAGGTGAAGTGGAGCTTTGAAGAACTTGGCTTCTTGTCTCAAAAAGCTGCCAATGTCCTCTCAGGTCACTGTGGATTGAAAAGAGGAGACCGAATCCTGACAGTTCTACCTCGGATTCCAGAGTGGTGGTTATTAAAAGTGGCCTGTATGCGGGCAGGTGAGTAAATACTCCAATATTACCGGGAAACTGTTCTGTGGTTCTGTAGTTTAGCATTTTCTGAACATGTTTCATTATCTGTATCCAGATTTAAACTCAAATTTAAATTTTTGAAGGGGAAGAAGAAAAAAACCCAAGCAAACAACAACCAAGGACAAAGTATAGTGTCACTTTGAAGGCTAGCAGATTTATTTAAGTGTGAGCTTTCATAGATTAAAATTCACTTTTGTGCATAAACATGCTTTCCTTTTGTCTGAAGAAGTGAGTTTTAATTCACAAAAAGTTTACACTGAAAATAAATGTGTTAGACTTTAAAGTGCACAAGACCGTGCCTGTCTCAATCAGTGAGTTAGGCATCTGACAGCAAAGCCAGAGTTTAGGCGTTCAATTTCCCACTGTGCATTTCAGAAGAGCCAGCCTGTGTGGCCTTGGGCAAGCTGCACAACTCTGGGATGTCCCTAGAAGAAGGGAATAGTAAACCACTTCTAAGTACAGTGGTCCCCGCATAGCGACGATAATCCGTGCAGCAAAAATCGCTGCAAAGTCCATAGGAATGCATTAAAACCCATTTAATGCGTTCCTATGGGCTTTAAACTCACCTTTAAGTGAAAATCCTCCATACGGTGGCCATTTTCGCTGCCCGGTAAGCGAGGAAACCGCACAAAAACACAGCGGGTGGCTATTCTTTTTACCGGGCGGCCATTTTGGAACCACCGATCAGCTGTTGGATAATCATTGCTATGCGATAATCGGTAAGCAAAACAGCGAACCGATCATCGCAAAGCGATTTTTTCCCATTTAAAACATCGCAATGTGATCGCTTTTGCGATCGCAAAATCTTTGTTGCTATGCGATTTCGTCGTTAAACGGGGCGCCCGTTAAGTGAGGCACCACTGTATTCTCAGTTTTCAGGAAAATTCTGAAAAGGATCACCATAAGTTAGAATTGACTTGATGGCACATGGTTATGGTTATTATCTCCTTGATTTTTATTCCCCCTTGATTTTTGCCAGCATCTTTTCCAATGAGAAACTCAGACGCCGTATCAAATCTTTTAAAAGTTGCTGCTGCAACTGTTTTTTTTAAAAAAAGTAGTGATGTTGGGAGAAATTACAGGAATTGTAGTTTGAAAAAGAAACTTTGCTAAACTCTGTAGCAGACATATTCCTATCAGAGCACAAATATGAAATGGCTAAAGAAGCAAATACATGGATATACTGTATAAGAAGTGTTTTAAATGGATCCAGTGGCCAAAATCCTATTACTCAGCACAGTAAATTATTCTAAAGTAGGTTCATTGAATCAATGAGGATTTAGAGAGTCAACCCGTTGATAACTTCCATTGATTGAAGTGGATTTACTTTAACTGTGGCTTTCTACTTGAAAGTAAGTCTTAGCTAGAGTGTGACCATTTGAATCCGTAGAACTTATCAAGCAATTGACTCACTCAATCCCTATTGATTCAATGGGCCTATTCTCGTGCAACTTACTACACTAAGCCACAGGATCTTGGCCAGTACTGTATGTGTTTGCTTATTCAGGTGAGATACAGTATGATTTAGATGTTGGAAGATCCAGGCATAACTTCGGGTGCTGCTAGCCTAGTTTCATAGCTCTGCATCTTGGAATGGAGAATTATTTTATTAATTTATTTCTTGCATTAGATCCACATCCTCCTCCTTCAACGAAACAATATGTAGAAACAATATTATTTTATTTACAATGGTGGTGGCAGACTCCAGTTTCAGAAGTGTGCTGAATCCACTCTGGGTTTTAGACTTGTAGTTTGCATATCGCAGTAATTATCCAAGGTGCTGAACCTATTTTGATGGTTGGATTACCAATTTAGATAGTCCTTGAAAAGCGTGTGCTAAAACCTGGAGTAGATTCACAGCACCCCTGAAATTGGACTCTTCAGCCACCAAAGTTCTCACAACAGCTCTGACCTAATACTAACCACTCTACCATGGTACAGAGCAGGAAAATGCTCCATAGGGCACCTCCTAGTGGGTGTTCTTTACTTATTTCATTCCCTGCTTCTTTTCTAGGCATTGTTTTCATTCCGGGGACATCCCAGTTAACAGCTAAGGACATTGCCTACAGGCTCCAGGCTTCCAAAGCCAAATGTATTGTGGTCAGCGAGACTTTGGCTCCCGGAGTGGACTCCATTGCATCGGAATGCAAATCCTTGAGAACCAAGCTCCTTGTGTCTGACAGAGGCCGAGACGGCTGGCTGAACTTCAAGGACCTCTTGCAGTAGGTCTTCTGGAAGGTGTTGCAACTGAGTGAGGAAGAAATAAGAGAATGGGCAAGAATCCTATTAGTTTCACCTGCTGGATTAACTCCATCCATGCAAATCTCAGCTGTGAATTGCCACAAGTTAAGATGTCAGCCTGGGCATTTGCTGTAGAACCCCAGGCATGTGACTCAGCACAGGACAGCAAATGCTTATGCTGTTTCTTAACCTGTGACGATCTGCATCTGGAGTTTAGGCACCTGATCAAGTTATGCCAGCATAAATTTTCCATTGGATTCTGCTCAATATATCTGTTGTTAACAGTTGACTGCAATCAATTGTTAGATTACATGGGGGCAGGGGAGAGCAAAAGATCTAGAAAGATTTTTGGGCAACAGCTTCCCCACCTCTTTTGAATCAGGATACAGTGGTGCCTCACAAGACAAATTTAATTCATTCTGCGGTTAATGTTGTCTTGTGAAAAATGTGTCTTGCGAAACACGTTTACCCATAGGAATGCATTGAAATCTAATTAATGCGTTCCTATGGGCAAAAAAGTCAGAACAAAGTCAAATTTGGTTTACAAAGGGTTTATTAAGAGCTCTTTAAAGCCATATATATTGTGCAGATGATTTTTAAAAATTCAGTCAAAAAACTTAAACTTTTTAAACATCATAGAAAAACATTTAAAAACCAGCAAACATGAGACAGGAGCAAAAAATGGAAAACATTCGTCTTGCGAAGCAGGGCCATAGGAACATTCTTCCATTTAGGACTCAGAGAGGGATCAAAGGCTACCACAAAGGGGATACCTTCAAAGGCACAAATTACTTTCCCAGCTAGAGTGCTTATCTTTACACTCTAGCCCACTTGGCAAGGGAGGTGGAGTGTTCACTCCAACTGGCAGCTGGGCTGCCTTATCTCGAACCGCAAGAGCAGAACCCTTCTATAGTCAAGACCGACTGAACAGTTCATAGATCTGCTTCGTTTTAGGCCAATTCATGCTGCTGTATGTTTGTTTTGTTTGTTTTTACAATGCCACGTGGTGCGATTGTTGTTAAGAGAAGCACCTGCTGACCACAAGTGTGTTAAGACAAAGAGCCAAGAGCCGATGCTCATCTACTTTACAAGTGGAAGCACAGGATCACCCAAAATGGTGGAACATACCCACTGCAGTTATGGCATTGGATTTACAGCCAGTGGCAGGTAGGTATGGATGGATGGATGGATGGATGGATGGATGGATGGATGGATGGATGGATGGATGGATGGATGGATGGATGGATGGATGGATGGATGGATGGATAAACTGCCCTATAGCAATGCACTCTCTGGCAAAATACAATAAAACATACAACAAGAAAAATATAAACAATATACAAATACAAATCAATAATCAAATCAATTGATCAGTAGAACCACTGACTAGGTAACTTATCCTTTAAATAAATGAACAATTTAAGATGACATTGGACATTACAGGTAAAATCATTAATAAAAGGCAACTTCAAACTCTTCTATTTTTACTGCCTTCTTAAAGACTATGAAGGAAGGCACCTGGTGAACCTCTGCTGGATGTTTATTCCTGAGGTGTGGAGACAATTTAAGATGACATTGGACATTACAGGTAGAATCACTAGTAAAAGACAGCTTTATACTCTTCTATTTTTACTATCCTTCTTGGCGAACCTCTGCTAGATGTTTATTCCTGAGGTGTGGAACCACCACCGAAAAAGCCTGGTTGCAGGTGTTGGCTCTTCTGACCTCCCTTAGGATCATTGTTTTTAACATCCTGGACTGAGAAGAGCAGATGTTTTATAGGAGAGACATTCTGACAGGCATCAAAGTCTTAAACCATTTAGGGCTTTATAGATGATGATTTCCACCTTGAATTGAGCTCAAAACCTGACAGGAAGTCATTTTAGCTATTTATTATTTATTATATCTGTGACAGCCTCCTCACATGACACAAAGTCTTAAACCATTTAGGGCTTTATAGATGATGACTTCCACTTTGAATTGAGACCAGAACCTGACAGGAAGCCATTTTTAGCTATTTATTATTAATTACAACTGGCAGATGACATCACCGTTACCGTAACAATATCCATATCTCATCTTTCTTCCAATGCATGATGGCTTCCTTTCTCTTCACAACAACCCTGTGAGGTACATCAAGAGAGTGACCCAATTTAGTGGAAGGGCTCACAGATTTCCCAACTCCCATTCTAACATTTTAAACGAGGGTGGACCAAGTCTCGTGTCCAGGTGCCGTTGGACCACAACTCCCAGCATTCATTGGGGCTGCCCCTGCTGCCCAGGGTATGGCTTGGTAGGAGGGCCTAAATTCCAGGGGCACCAAAAGGGATTTAAGAGGTTGGTCCCCTTTTAAATGGAATGTGCTGCATTATACATACCAGGTGGCCATTTTCATGCTTGTTACTCCCCAAACCATCATAACTAGTTTAGCACTTAGAGCTTTGATGCCCTTTATGGGTTAAACATAGGTTGTGTGAAATTGACATATGTGGGGAAATAGAAGGAGGGATGGAGAAGCGTGTCTGGGTCTCAGCACCCAATAGCTGTATTGGTTCTGTGCAGTACTACTGCACAGGATGGGTGGGTTAAACCGTACTACCAGCAAAGACCAAAAGGCAGGTTTCTACTAGACATAATAAGACGTGCACGGCTACTCTCAGAATCCACCAGGAATTGCTTCAGCCAGAGATTATGGCACCGGTAGCCCTTCTGCCCATTAGACTGTGTAAAGGGTGCATCTCAAAAAACAACTAGTCGTATAATTCTTTGTAGTACCTCTCAAGTTTAGCCAGTTCTTTCCCCTTCAAATGCAAACAGTACGTCCTGAGGCTAACCTATGAGTGATGGAAAAGTCCTCTGTGGACTTACATTTCTTGGCCGCAGCTCCCAGAATTCTGGGTGAGGAAATTCCTGGGGAATTATAGGGGCTAAATTATGAGAAATCTCAAAGCCTCGTGCCTGGTTCATACTCTTCCAGTGGCAAATTCACGTACTCTCTACATTTTGTCAAAGCCCTAGTCACCTGATTCTACTTATGGCTCTGGAGACAATTTGTTGCGCTCTTTATTATTAATGCCAAAGAAACTGACTTCAGTCAGTCAGTCATTTCATGTATAGTGTGCCTTGCTTCCCCTGAGCTCAAGGTGGTGTACACGACTCTCTTTTCCCCACTGTACTCTCAAAACAATCTTGTGAGGTAGGTCGGTCTATCCCAGTGAGTCTCATGGCTAAGTGATCATTGTCAATCATGGTCTCCTGGTTCTGTGGTGCAACATTTTAATCACTGCATCATGTAGTCTCTTAAGGGCCAGGGGAAATACAGGGAAACTCTGGTTCCCTCTAATGGTCAATTTTGATATTACACGTGGGAGATGCATGTAAAACTACTAGCAACAAAACCAAATAACACTTCAGTTGCCATTAGATCCATCAGAGAACAGCAAAAACTTTTAAAAAAACACCCTAAAAAAAACCCCCAGTCAAAATGCCTCTAAAAGTTCCTTTAAATGCCTTTAAAAGTAACTTTGGAAAGCAACTAGGTCTTGCTGGTCATATCCAAGTAACTGGAGAGTTACCAATTACGCCTTAAACTTTCAACTACTAGTTACATTACTTATTGCACAAAACCAGTAAGTAAACAAAATTCATTACTTGTGCCTCTGGGGTAGGGTTGACTGATTTGCAGAACATCTGGAGAGATGCACCTCTGCCGGTCTCTGTTCTAAAACCATGATACTAATCTGGTTCTTGCAGCAAACTCAACCTCTGGGTACATGACAGCGAGCATATAAAACAAACATTCTTAATTGGGATATACAGTATGGCTTGCCATATATGTCCCCATTCCCTCCCAGTAATTGAGTGGGATTAACTCATCTCCCTATTAATAATACAACATTCTGACTTGGCCCTGTAGCATTTTTCAGGGTTTTGGTGCAGAACAGGCAATTAAATCCCACTTACTTTTCCAAGACCTACTGGTGGCACAGATAGAAACGGCTAACACTAGTTTCATGGCATGACTCCATCTCTCTGTCTGCATTTACAATCTTCGGGGGGCAGAGATGGGGAAAGGGATGTTGTAGCTGCTGTTGTTTTGCACTACAATCCTAGAACACCCCAGAAGCATGGCCCTTTTTCCCCATCTCGGCCATAAGGATGTGGCTATGGGGACCATTAGCCAACACGTCAAAATTTATCTCTGTGTATGCAAAGCAGGAAGGAAGCCCTTACAATAAACTTTTCTTCTGGTATCTAATTCCTCTGCATGGACTTGTTTGCTGTGTCATCATGAAACCTACTTTCCAGGACTCTTCAGTCTGGAGTCTGCAAATGACGGCAGATACATTATTTTCTCCTCCACAGGCGCTGGATGGACCTTAGCCCTTCGGATATATTCTGGAATACATCAGACACAGGATGGGTCAAATCAGCCTGGAGTAGTGTGTTTGCACCATGGATCCTTGGATCGTGTGTCTTTGTCCATCACCTGCCACGCTTTGAACCCAAAGTCATACTGGATGTAAGAGGCCACCATGTGCAGACGGGATAGCAGGTCTTCTTTAAAAGAATGTCTATAGTTAGGGAGTTGATCAGAAAGGACGTACCGTAGCTCATAATTTGGTTCACTTTTGGTGAGATTTGGTTTGCCCTGTTTTCTGGGACAGTGTCTGCGAAGCCACCAACATGAACTTGACCCAACTCTGGGAGGCAGTGGAAGACAGGAGGTCCTGGTGTGCTCTGGTCCATGGGGTCACGAAGAGTCGGACATGACTTAACGACTAAACAACAACAAAATTTTCTGGGGAGCACATGTGTTTTCAGTAGGAGCAACCCATCCTGCCCCTTTCGTGAGCTGTTCTGCTCCTCTCTGGCACAGCGCCACGGCTTCGGTTTATCTGGTGTGATTGGGAACACTTCGTTCACTTTTGGTGAGATTTGGTTTGCCCTATTTTCTGGGACAGTGTCATCGAAGCTACCAACATGAACTTGACCCAACTCTGGGAGGGAGTGGAAGACAGGAAGTCCTGGCGTGCTCTGGTCCATGAGGTCACGAAGAGTCGGACATGACTCTTTAAAATTTTCTACTTCTCACAATTTCACTTAACGACTAAACAACAACAAAATTTTCTGGGGAGCACATGTGTTTTCAGTAGGAGCAACCCATCCTGCCCCTTTCGTGAGCTGTTCTGCTCCTCTCTGGCACAGCGCCAGGGCTTCGGTTTATCTGGTGTGATTGGGAACACTTCTGATTATTTCATTCTGTGTGGTTGCTTAATTTGTTTTCAAATAGAGTTGTGAGCAGTGTTCTCTTTGGTAGCAACTCTGTGACACAGCAGTGAGTTGTGACAATAGAAGGATGGTGAGGAAACCCTCTTTAAAGTTTTCTACTTCTCACAATTTCAAAAAAAAGTCATCCTAAGTGACACTGGCACTGTTTCAGATAAAAGGATCCATGCTAAATTGATGTATTGCTGTAGCGCTATATCACTTACTAAACAAAAAAGGGAAGTGGAATGACAGCCGCAACAAAAAATGAGGAAAGGAGTGGGTAGTGGAGGGGGAGCAATATTCAAAAGGGGGAGAAATTGGAGCAATCTGAAATGCTGTCTGGATCCTTCTCATGAGAGAAGAAACATCTCCTGTGTTCATGGAAGGATCACACAAGCGTGAGATAAAATTAATTGCACCAAAGATAAGAGGCTAAATTGCACCAAAGATAAGAGATAAAATGCAACCTAGATTGCTCCACATTTCTCTGTCTAGTCGCTCCCTAAGATATAGATCACATATTTTGCATGCAAAGGTCCCATCTTCAATCCCTGACATTTTCTGATCTGGTCAAGAAAACCTGCAACTGCACGCACAGATAATTTCTATAGGGTGACCTTCCGCCCATATCACTGAAAGCTGGAGATCATGTGGAGTGATCTACCAACAGAGCTGTTAGCTCTATTATTTCTAGGAGGGCTGTTGCCAAAACATTTAATGAGAAGCATTTTAAAATTTTAAACAGTATGATTAAGAAGCTTTCTTTCTTTTATGCATATGCAACACTGTATATTTTCAAATGACATTCCTCACATTCTTCTTCCCCCGGGGGGGCTGGATCTTGCATTTTCTAAAAAACACAAATCATCCATATTTTGTTATTTCTTCCTATTGGTTCTTGGTACAAAATTCCGTACCATACTATATATTGTATTCCTTGTATACAACTACATACGTCATTTACCCAGTAAAAGGGATTCTTCCTCATGCTTTAGTATTGGCAAGCCCTCGCTGAAATACCTTAGTGTAAAACTATAGCAAATAAGACGGTGATGTCATCAGTCATGGCAGGTTTTCAGAAACTTACATTTTCTGACCTGACTGAAATTTGGACGGATTTGCTCCCCTGGCACTGCTTTCGTCATGGAGATGCTCTTGGCGGCCACGAGAGAGGGGGGGAATGTCTCTCACTTCCAAAAATCACAGCTGCTGGCATGATTTTACTACAGGCAGCAATTTCCAGAAATTAAGGACTTCCCTCCCACCTTTGACTTCCAGGGGCTACACTATGGTGAGAGGGATCTGAAGGGAACCTTAGGACCTTAGGGCGTGGAGGTGGGGTATTAGGGTTGGAAATGCTTTGATTCTGAAAAAACCAACCCAGCTGATGAAGTGATCAGCGTTACATTGCATAGGTCTCTCTGCTCAATTTCAGCCACCATGTTCCTAAGCCACATTTGGGGATCCAGGGAATGACTTTAACATCCTTTTCTCCATATAGACCCTTGCAAGATACCCCATCACCACTTTCTGTACCGCTCCCACTGCTTACCGGATGTTGGTTCAGCACGATGCCACCAGGTACTGCATCAGCAGGTAGCTTGGACCATAAATGCATGGTCACATTACTAAGGGCATGGATACACGAAGGTAAGACACAAGATGGGTAGGCAGTGGTTTTTCTGAGCTTGGCCTCCTCCATCTAGCCCAGGGGTCAGGAAACTTTTTAACCTTTTGCCCCCCCAAAAATTTATATATGCCAACATTACCCCCTTGATTTGAAAGGAAGGAAATCATACATTATTTGAATTCAAAATATTATTGAATCTACACAGGCTGTGTACCAAACTATCAGGATTCACCAAATTTAATAAAGATGTGCACTATTTTTGCTGGAACACATTGGACTCCAGCCATGGGGTGGTATAGGGAGTAGTAAGGTGTCCAACGTGCCGAGCAGGTTGCATTAAATTTTTGCTAGCTCGCAGAGGATTTAATCATCATCAATGGCTGCCAGAGTTGTGCTAGCAATGACATGCTTGCTACAGACAGCCAACACAGAGTTTGGGGGGGGGTGGTCCTAACACTTTAATCATTCTCTGTGTGTTGTGCAAAAAGGAACAAACCAGGCCAAAGGTCATGTCACCCATCCTGGTGCCACAGCCCATTATCAAAGACCAGTGTGCTATTTTTTTTATCATCATCAATGGAAAACTCAGCAGTGGCCAGAGGATTGGAAAAGATCAGTCTACATCCCAATCCCAAAGAAGAGAAGTGCCAAAGAATACTCCAATTACTGCACTCATTTCACACGTTAGCAAGGTTAAGGTTATGCTTAAAATCCTACGAGGCAGGCTCTGCTCATTACCCCCAGGATTTCCATTTTTACCCAATTTGGGGTAATTTACCCATTCTCAGACCACTGATCTAGCCCTCTTTATCAAGTATACTTCCTTCTCAGTCTTCCCAAACCTGACACCTTTCAGAGTGGTTGGCCTACAATTCCTATCATCCCCATCTGGCTTGTATCAGATAATGATAATATCATTATCTGATATAATGGAAAGCTACCCAGTTGTTGTGCTACTTCCTAGCTCTGCTAAATCACTAATCTTATTTTGGTCTTGGGCTCTCCATCTACACCCCAAGAAATGCCTTTGTAAAAACAGTGCAAATTCCTGGATGCACATTTTTCATGATTCAGCTTCAACACCCCCTGTCTCTGTAGGAATCTGATCACTGAGAAGGAAGTGGGTGTGTCTTGTTGATGCTGTAGAGGTGTAAATTTCCTAGCTCCTCTGTTTTGAACAGAAATCAAGGGGAAAAAAACTAATAACATTCCCCTGAATGAAGACTTCACTGTGGGGGTATTTTTGCCAACCTGAGAAATCCTTCAGGAAATATCATGGATTTTTTTTTCATGGAAGAAATGCCAAGTTGCACAAAATTATTACGATTGCTGCACAGAATGGCATTTTTCCTGGGCATGGGAAGAGCAGAAGAAACCTCTTTCGGCACAGGATTGTTGCAATTCTACACAGAATAATATCTTTCCTGTGCAGGATTCTCCAGAAAGGAGATAAAGCTGTAAAAAAAAATTTGGCAGTTTGTAATGAAGAAAAATGGGTTACAAATGGTGTTTTGTGTGTGTGAGAGAGAGAAGGATCCCTTTTGTGTAGAAAGGTGGGATATCTACCAGATGCAGGAGAAAGTTTCAGTCTCAGCATGGAAAGATTTGGAAAATTGTCAAGAACAGGAAATTCTGGCATTACTTCTTACAGTCCTGCTCTAGTGCACATACAAACACACACCCCGGGTTCATGCAGGGAGTGAGGAGAACGGTGATCCAATAACATACTCATTGGCCCAGGGTCCCTACATATGAGGTAGAAAGACGTACAAAACCCTAATAGCTCAAGAGGGATCTGAAGGCCTTAGGAATGGACCTCAACAGATGGGAAACCTTGACGTCTGAGCGTTCAGCCTGGAGGCAGGCGGTGCATCATGGCCTCTCCCAATTTGAAGAGACACTTGTACAGCAGACCGAGGCAAAGAGGCAGTCCCGAAACCAGCAAAACCAGGGAGCTGGACAGGGGACAGATTGGATTTGTCTCCAGTGTGGAAGGGATTGTCACTCTCAAATTGGCCTTCTCAGCCACACCAGACACTGTTCCAAGACCTCCATACAGAGCACGATACCATAGTCTCTTGAGACTGAAGGATGCCTACAGTGGTGCATCTAGGTTATCACACTTCACACATAAGGTTTCATCTTCAAAATTCTTCAGGCTACTTTTTCCTCTCTAGATCTTTAGCCCTTCAGTAGATCTCTTGCAGACGCCAGTTAAAATAACACTTACATGAGTATATTTTGCTGCACAAGCATGCAGTGAATATTTTGTGCGGGAGCAGCATTCAGCAGTCTTTAAGCCAACTCAATAAAAAAGGGTGTGTGTGTGTCCCAGACAAAAATGATATGAAACTGCATCTTGGATCAGCAATGAATTTGGGACAGATAGAGCAGAAAACCTGTTCTGGATCTGTGCCAAATTTGGGGACTTTTGGTCAAAGGGTTTTCAAGTCTACGATTTTTTTAAAAAGAGTATAGCTGTTCACACTTGTTGAAAAACAGCCCTGCTTTGTGTTTTGGTGAGAAATGGGTAACTGATGGGAAAAAGGAGTCAGCTTCTGGGATTTATCCCTGCATGGTCAAAAGGAGTCAGCTTCTGGGATTTATCCCTACATGGTCTCACTTTGTGAAGGGTAGTGAGTACAAGAGGACATCCTGTAGACCATCTTGACAGCTGCCATGGGTGTCGTCAACATTCAAGGCTGCCAATGCTAAAGGAGTCAGCTTCTGGGATTTATCCCTACATGGTCTCACTTTGTGAAGGGTAGTGAGTACAAGAGGACATCCTGTAGACCATCTTGACAGCTGCCATGGGTGTCGTCAACATTCAAGGCTGCCAATGCTACATAAAGCGCCATGGGTGTCGTCAACATTCAGGCTGCCAATGCTACGTAAAGCTTGGCATCCTTTTTCATGCTGGCAATGTGGCCATTATATTGTGCAGTGATACTGGGCCATTTCCTGACATTCTGAATCGTAGATGCAGAAACACAATATCCCACATTCATAAACCAGAGGTTTTTTAAGAATTGAATTTCTAATATCATATACAGTATTCATCCATATAGTTATATAAATACAGTGGTGCCTCGCACAGCGAGGTTAATCCGTCCCAGATTAACCCTCACTGTATGAAACATCGCTGAGCGGTAAGAAAAAAGCCATTGGAATGCATTAAACTTAGTTTAATGCGTTCCAATCGGCTGATTTACTCACCATTCAGCGAAGTTTTTCAATGGCTGGCAGCCATTTTCGCGCCCTCCCCTCGCTTAACGAGGGCGCAAAAACGCTGCACACGGCCATTTCGGCTGTTCCGGTGGCCATTTTGTTGCCGCGGAACAGCTGATCGGCGGGTCGCAAAGCGAAGATCGGTAAGCGAACCACTTACCGACCTTCGCTCTGCGATTTTCGCCCATTGGGGCCATCGCTCTGCGATCGCATTCGCGATCGAAAAAGCGTCACCGTACAGCGAATTCATCGCTCTACGGTGCGCTCGTTCTGCGAGGCACCACTGTATATGTTTAATTCCTGCACCCTGAGCATGGGAGGATCTTGGACTACAATCCAGCCAATGTAATTAGGATTTCAGTTGAAAAAAATAAAATTCCCCCCCCCCAAAGTAACCTAAGAATTGTAGTAAAAATAACAACAATAATGTTGTCAAGCTTTCTAGCATATGTATGTGACAGCATGTTGTGTTTTACAACACACTGGCAAATAATGGAGCAGCCCCATTAACCATAGTGGGATTTACCTCTAAGTAGATGTGCACAGGTTTGTATTAACAAATGTGTGCTAATTATGTATGAAAAGGACCCTTTAGCATATCAAACAATTGCTTTATGAGGGCCAGGAAAAAAGGCAGTCTCTTTCACAGATGTTTAGCCCAAGCTATCCTTTGAATCATTCCATAAATTTGGGGGTTTTACCGTATGCACTGCACAATCTGAAATGTAGACGTTTGCAGGTTGTGTTTAGCATAATACGGTGGCAGTGTGGTTTGTGAGTAGAGGTGGGCATGGACTGCCAGTTTTGGTGGTTCATGCCCATCTCTTATTTGTGAGGTTTAAGAGACACACAATCTCGCGTCATTCAAGAGCTTATGAAAATGGGAGAAGAAATCCGAAGGTCACCTGCCTATAGCAGAGAGGCCTATAACCTTCCTTGTTGCCATCATTTCTTCTTAAGTTACAAATTCATGAGCCTGAAGCATTGTGTGACCGGAGGGGAGCCCCTCAACCCTGAAGTGTTTGAGCGCTGGAAGAGACAAACCGGACTGGACATCTATGAAGGATACGGACAAACGGAAACAGTATGTCTGTGTGCTTTTGTTTTTCCACAAATATATCTGGCACGATCACTTCAGAATTTAGACTAAGGAGAGCTGCACATGAATGGGATCAAAATTGGGACAGTTGGCTACTGGATAGCTTGGTAGTTTAGTTAGAGGTTAGGAGTTTGATTCCCCATCCATAGAGTCCATTCCAGTTCTACAGGTCTAAGGCGATGATGATGATTACTTTTTAAAATAAATTTGTTGCATTATTCATTAAGGGCTAACCATGTCACCATCTTTACCCTTGTCCCACCCCCAAAATAGTTTGCTGGACTGTTTGCCACTAGAAGATTGAGCTGGTGTCATCAGGCTTAAAAAATATAGGAGAATTATATCTGTTATGCCCTAGTGCCAATTCTAGTGGCACATCTTGAAAATACTCCTGAAAAGGCAAAAGATGCAACAAAAATATTTTTTTTCTTGTTACCTAGAAAAGTTCCTTTCCAAATGCCTTAAAAATTAACTTTTGACGTAAATAGAAATTAAAGACGGGGACGAATATAAAAACAGATCGCTTTTCCCAACAAATATAGCCAATTTGGTAAATATTCAACGATCCATATTTGTGGGTTCCAGAGATCTCCACGAATACAAAGGGATGAATATTTACCTGTTTTTTTCGTCCTTCGTATTAAAAAAAACAAACTGGCTGGAGTTCTCTTTGAACTCAGAGGCAGGGAAGGAAAAATTGATTACTGCTGGATAGATTGATAGTCACTCCGTTCCAGAAAGGTCCCTCCCAGCCAAACCTGCTAGAGGCAGCATGCGAGGTTGCAAAAAGTCCTACACATCCCACTTGGAAATCAATTGAAATCTCATTTAATCTGTGCTTCTCCTTCTCTCTGTTGCAGGTAACAATATGTTCTAACGTAAAAGGAATGAAAATTAAACCTGGCTCCCTGGGAAAGGCATCTCCACCTTATGATGTCCAGGTAGGGGTGTAAAAAAAATACATAATGGATTCTTCATTCTTCTTAATTCATCCTGTCTTTATCCAGTGAGATAGGTGGATAATGAATTTTCAGGCCCCACAGAATTCCTCACCTCCAGGCCATCTTCCCTCATCAGGGTCTCCACAATTTTCACAAAGCCCACTCTTCGCATTCTTTGTGCAAAATCTCCTATGAAATACAAAACACATGTAAGGAAAGCAGAGAACCGCTGGTTAATTTTCAAAGATCCCTCCAACCTTTCCACTGGTTCTATTCCTCCGATGTCCACACAACATGTTGTAATTTCCCAGAGCCTGTCACCCTGTAAGTCATCAGAAAACAATATGGCAATATTATAGGGTGGGCCGCCCCATAGCGCTACAAGCACTCTCCGGGCGGTTTACAATTTTTAATTATACAGGCTACACATTGCCCCCCCAGCAAGCTGGGTACTCATTTTACCGACCTCGGAAGGATGGAAGGCTGAGTCAACCTTGAGCCGGTTACCTGGGATTTGAACCCCAGGTCGTGAGCACAGTTTTAGCTGCAGTACAGCGTTTTAACCACTGCACCACGAGGCTCTTGAAATAGTCTGTCCAGGGTACATCTTCCAAAGCCCAACAAAACTGAAAATAGTAACTAGAAGAGTTGTCATTTTTGTGCTAGGTAGGGGATATATGGAAATAAAACCTGTTTTTGTACAAGGCACATTTCACTATTTCTCAGTTATGTCTATAGTGAACAGACAGTAAAGGTCTCAAGAGTAAGTTCAGGCTTTTTCAGAGTCTCTGCATGTCCCGGGCTGCGTATGTGAAAAATTTGACAACGGATGGGGCCAGGCTAGGCACACCCTGGCATCTTTAAAATTCAGCGGCAGCTTCCTAGTCTTGTGGTTCACTTTATTCCACAGAATTTAATGGGTTTTCCATTGGCAACGGAGGCAACCTGAGTGTGTAGCCCCATTTCTCCACACAAGTGAAACCCCTTTGGGTATTTTATGTTTCTGTCGATTAGACAGATGAGGAAGAGGGGTACAGTAGCCCCATTCCTCCTTCCTGTTCAATTTTCATTCTGTGCAACTATGAATGGAGAACGGATGCCACTGAGAACTACAGTGGTGCCTCACTAGACGATAATCCATTCCACTGAAATTGCTGTTTAGTGGAGTCATCGTCTAGTAAAAAGCATTTCCCCATTGGAATGCACTGAAACCTGTTTAATGCATTCCAATGGGGAAGAATCGTCGTTGTCTAGCGAAGATCGGTCATAGGAAAGGCGCTTTGCGAACCGCCGATCAGCTGTTTAAATAACTGTCTTGCGAAGCTTAGGTCCCGAAAACACCTGTTTTGCAAGCACGAAGGGAGCTGTCAAAATCATTGTCTAGCGAAAATCGGTTTGCGAAGCAGGGACCAAACATTGTCCAGAGAAATTCCCCCATAGGAATCACTGTTTTGCGAATCGCTATAGCGATCGCAAAAAGTCAATGTCTAGCGAAAAACTATCATGCGGGGTAACTGCCTAGCGAGGCACCACTGTAAGTGACCTTTTGGATTTTCATTGATTTTCAAATCATCAGCATCATCATGGAATTGCAGAGCAGGAAGGGACTTTATGGATCATTGGGTCCAGCTCCTGTAAGGAGGCACCTTGGGGGAATCGAACTCCCAACCTCTGGCTCCACAGCCAGATGCCTAAACCACTGAGCTATCCAGCAGTTCCAGATATAGAAGCCCTTTCGAAATCAGCACTGGACCACTGAAACTATATATCCCTCATCATCATTGCTTTGCTCTGTTCTTGGTCTAGATGGACGGGGTATAAATCTGATAAAATAAATAAATAACAATAAATATTCTGGTTTGCTTTTGGTTTGTTTTTGCTTTTATTTGTTTGTTCATCAGATCCTAGATGCCCAGGGCAAAATTCAGCCTCCAGGGGAAGAAGGGGATATTGCAATCAGAATCGAACCCAAGCGGCCATTTTGTCTGTTCTCATCCTACCTAGTAAGCATTACTTTTCACGTGCCTTTGAGCAATACTTGTTAGCGTGCTTGTTTCATTTTGCAATATACGTCGCTGGTGACAGTGCCGGGATTTTATTCAGGTCTTTACCCTTCCCATGGATTTTGCTCTTAGTGCTCTCCTTATTCTGTGCTATGAAAGGGATACTTTCCCAGCAGGCAGGGTAAGGAATGACAAAACCGTTTGTCTGGTGCAAGCCTTTGAGGGCAGAGGCTGAGCCCCACACCCCTGCCAATGGCCTGCTCCCATCCTGTAGTATCTCCTATCTTTGCCTTCCAGGGGAGGGTCCTGACTTCATTATTTTCTTCTTCCTTGGGGGGCAATAGTGATGGATTGGGGCCAGATGGGGAAGACAGGTATGCAGGTGACAAAGGTGGCAGATGGCAGGACATGGGATCCCTGCAATGGGTGGGGGGGCAGAGAGACAAAGTAGACAGATTAGCAGCCACGAGCAAAATGCCCGTGTAAAATCGTGTTTTAATTCTTCCCAGGACAACCCAGAGAAAACAGCAGCCAGTGAACGTGGAGGGTTTTATATCACCGGAGACCGAGCAACTAAAGACGAAGATGGCTATATTTGGTTTGTTGGAAGATTGGATGATGTCATTAATTCCGCTGGGTAAGTTCACTAGACTGGAGTTTGGTTGTCTTATTTGCTTGCTCTCTGTTCTGTTCAAAAGCTCCCGAGAAACGATCCCATTGTCTCCTTAGATATCGTATCGGACCCTTTGAAGTGGAAAGTGCTTTAATAGAACACCCGGCCGTGGTTGAATCTGCTGTTGTCAGCAGCCCAGATCCTGTCAGAGGCGAGGTAATCAAGTCGGTTCAGGGCCAGGTGCAAAATTTGCAAAATAAAATAAAATAAAATAAGTTTCTTACCAATTATGGGGAGATTGGTGTTTCCTACCAGGAGGTTTCACTCTTGATAGGTTGCAAATTCCCTAACATTTGTTCAGTGATTGGTCATCAGGCAAGGAGCAAAATTCACTGATACGTTGATTGGTTTGCTCTGAAGCTTTAGAAAAAAGATGTCTGTATGGGTAGAACTTTTTACCGCTTCCTCATTGCAAAATTTCCCTCTCATCAGTTTTTGTCTTCAGTCATTTCGTCTGGACGTGCCCAAACATTGTACTGTAGACATTAAAAGGCCCACTCAGAATTAAGATGCCAACTTAATTCATCACCAAAAATGAGAGGAAATGCATAGCAGAAAAAAAGAGGACATTATTTTGCATAAAATTGCATAGGCTAATTTATGTGAACATCTGTGAGGTGTGGGAACCCTATAATTCAAATGAATATACACAATACCACTCACCATAACTGGGGGCATTATCACTCTGTGCAATTTAATGGCCTTGGCAGCGACTCCTGTGTAGGAAATATTCCATTCAGCACAGGAATTGTAACAATCCTGTACAGCGTGGTGTCTCTTCTGCCCTTTCCAAAGGAATCCCGCACAGGAAGGGCAGATGAAACACCACTCTGTACAAGATTGTTATAATTTCTGTGCTGAATTTTGACAATCTTGCATGGTTTTGTTGTTGTTGTTGTTGTTGTTGTTGTTGTTGTTGTTGTTGTTGTTGTTGTTGTTTGCCTTTCCTGGATAAATCCTATGAAGAGTCTTGGAAAGAGTTGTGATTGATTGGCTGGCTGGTGAGCCACCTGTCTGGAACCCTCAACAGGATCACTCCACCACATTTTGTTGCAGATCTCATATGTCTTGGGTCACAATAGCCAGTAGACCAATATACCGAAATAACTAATATAACAATGTGCTAAGAACCCAATTCTATCAAAGTCTACATTTTCTCAGAGTTTTCTCAGAATGCATATCATTCTTATTCAACAGGTAGTGAAAGCTTTTGTCATTTTGTCTCCTGCCTTTTCATCGCATGATCCTGAAAAATTAAATCAAGGAACTCCAAGATCATGTGAAAAGGGTCACTGCTCCTTACAAGTATCCTAGAAAGGCAAGTATTTTTCCTCTCCTGAGCAGGAAAATTGCATTGGATCAGTATGGAGGATCACACTGAAAAATCAAAGTTATTTTCCTCATTTACCTATTGAATTATTTAGGATGTATGTTTGGCTATTGTGGAAAATATGGTGCTGTACCAGGGAGAGCTGACACATCAGGGCTCTTCCCACATTATTTGATGGGATTGTAGAGTGGTTCAACTCACACTTTCGAAAAAGTTACATTTTTTGTTTGGTTGTAAGACGCTGTTGACCTGAATAAATTGATGATGGCCGTGTTGTAGAGATAGGAATGAATCTGATTGTCATACTGGCACCATAACTGCTGTATGGTCCTGTTCTGCACCCACCCCCAGCCAGATTCCCCTAGTTACCAGCCAGAGCATACTCTGCCCCTCCTCCTCTTCGGTCATCTCACCAGTTGTGGCAGTAGCACGGACTTCCCTTCTCTGCCTCCTCCAGCAGTTGCCCACTTAAAGGCAGTGCTTCAGCCATCCCTGCCCCGCCTCCTCATCTGAGAGGGCAGCTGCTAGAGGAGAAGGACACTGTGTGCGCCTACTGCAACTGGTGACGTGACGGAAGAGGAGAAGGAGCACAGTGTGCACTAGCTGGTGAGTGGGGGAATCCGACTGGAGGGGGGGAGTATAGGGCCACATGGCACCTGCAGTGTCAGTACAATAATTCTGCATGATCCAACAATCCAGATTTGTGCCCATTTCTACTGGGTTGTGTCACGGTTAAGACACTGTGTGCGCCTACTGCAACTGGTGACGTGACGGAAGAGGAGAAGGAGCACAGTGTGCACTAGCTGGTGAGTGGGGGAATCCGACTGGAGGGGGGGAGTATAGGGCCACATGGCACCTGCAGTGTCAGTACAATAATTCTGCATGATCCAACAATCCAGATTTGTGCCCATTTCTACTGGGTTGTGTCACGGTTAAGATGTTGGTTTATTATTATTAATTATTATTA